CTGAGAAATCTCGGACAGTAAGTAGTTTCGTCAGTAGGAAACGTGGCATTGCTATGATGTTGTATGAGTTAAAAATACTCTAAGTGAAATAGTTGAATATATTTTATCAGCGTATATTGTGCAATATGTCGTTTCTTAAAAGTAAATTATTTAATCTGACTATTCCATCATCATCATTTAACCCGGATCTATCCACTGCTGGATATAGGTCTCCCTCAGTCTTTTCCATGTATTTCTGTTTTGTGCTGTTTGCATCCAATTTTTGTCGATCCGTTTTATGTCATAAAACCATCTTGTTGGTGGACGACCTCTACTTCGATTTGCTTCTTGTCTCGGTCTCCACTATATTATTCGCTGTGTCCATCTGTTATCCGACATTCTAGCTATGTGCCCCGCCCAGTTCGACTTAAGGGTCATAATTCTTTCTATGACATCTGTCACCCCTGTTCTCCGTCTTATTTCCTTGTTCGTGATCCGATCCCTACGAGAAGTGCCTAACATCGATCGTTCCATGGCTCTTTGGGTAACACAAATTTTATTTTTTACTTTCTTGGTTAGTGTTTATGTCTCTGCACCATATGTAAGTACTGGCAACACACACTGATTAAAGATTTTTCTTTTAAGACACATGGTCAGTTCTGATTTAAGAACATAGCTCAGCTTGCCGAATGCCACCCAAGTGAGTCCTAATCGGCGGCTTAGTTCGCACGTTTGATTATCTCTTTCTATACGTATCTCATGTCCTAAGTACTTATAAGAGGTGGTTTCTTCAATATGCATGTCATTTACTGGAATCTTTTCGCTTAACACAAGATTTGTCATGATTTGTGTTTTTGTGTGGTTGATTTTTAATCCAACTTGTAGGGAGGCTAGGTATAGTTTCTCCAGTTGTGATACTGCATCATCGATTCTGTCAGCAGAAAGGACAATATCGTCAGCAAACCTAAAATGACTAAGCATTTCTTCCTTGACATTAATTTCTTTTTCACTCAGATTTGCGTTCTTAAACATATGCTCTAATAGTGTTGTAAACAATTTTGGCGAAATTGTGTCTCCCTGTCGCACTCCTCGTTTTATTTTAAATACGTTGGTCTTTTTATCTGCCAGTTTCACGCTTGCTGTTCCATTTTTATAGATGTATTTTATCATGTTTATATAGCGATTATCTATACGGCACTCTGTTAAGGCTTTTAACATCTTTTGATGACTTATTGTGTCGAAAGCTTTTTCGTAGTCAACAAATATCATGACTAATGGCTTGTTATATTCAACACTTTTTTCTATTTTGACTATTTAATCTGATTCAATTTGACTGTTTAATCTGTACTTAAGTTTTACAGTGACATTTTGCTATCAAGTTCTTCCATTTCTTTGCAGTCGTTAGTTAAAAGGCTGTCTTAGCACTCAAAGCACACTGCGATTTGAAATGGGGGTATCACTTACTTTTGTACACTGCTTACGCCAGCCGACTAGAACAGCTGTTTACTCAGTGGCGCTGGCCGACGGGTAGTTTAATGACAACAAATGCATTATTCTCCATTCAAATTAGTTTTGTCAAGAATACCTTTTTTGAATGATTATCGCAGATGTTTTAAAAATAATTATCACATTTTTAATTAACATGTCTTAGCTAAATATAGGATGGAATAAAAATTTGTGAAACGTGACTGCAAAAAACATCATGGTGTTTAGTTAAAATAACATAAATAATATTATCAAAAAATACAATTTGTTGTCACAAACAAATAAACAATTTCGCAGTTATAGCTTGAAAATGATCTTAAGAAGTTCTATTATTTAGAGAGAGAGAAAACTGATATCAGCCTAGTAAAAATTAAACAAAAATATTTTTATATTTATACTTAAAAATACGCGTAAACTAAAGAACTTGTAACTTATACCACTTAACTAATAATATATTACTTACACATATCCGTAAACTAAAGAATTTTAATGTTTTCAAAATAACTAAGAATACTGTAAACTGTAAACACTAAACAAGTTGATGAAGAAAATACAGGAATGAATAACTGAAAATGGATTTTGATTCAAGCGAACTAACTGACCGTACGTTTATGAGATTTGACGTCACGAAAGCGATAACGATGAAACTAAATGCTATGATCAGTAACACGTTTCACTATTAGATATCAGTATTTTTAAGCAATTTTATTTAAAATTTGAACACTCTTTTCTCGATTATTACTGGACACAGAAAGATGAAAAAAAATCAACTTGTGAAATTTCAGTGTTTCATTCAGTAGCCTCTTTTTCTCCGTCTTTTATAATAATTAATAATTTTATTAAATATTATTAACCATCCATCTCTTTTATGGTATTTTTGGTTCTAAATGAAAATTTTCGTTGGTAACTTTAATTAAAATGTCACCAATGTTTTTCTGTCAATTATGATTTTTCAAGGTAGCCCCCTTCTCTTTTTAAGTACGCAAGTTGTGTTTAATTTTTCTCTTACTTCCTTCTTATAACTTTCTTTGTCTTTGTATATTATAAGAAATCAAACTACGCAGTCTATATTATTTGGTTTAAAATGGATACACGATGGAGACACGGAAGTTCTTAATTTTACTTGAGTATTATTTGAGACTTATAGTTTCTGGTCATTTTATGTTCCTTGTAATATGTACTTATCTTTACATTATTTATATTTTTAACAAGGGAACTAAAAAGCATGCGAATATTTCACCAACGCTTTATAAAATTTAAAATGTTTTCATTATTTATTTAAAAAATAATAAAATATACTGTTTGTTTTAGATACTAAATTAGCAGAACAGGCAGATCACAGTCTTAAACTAGAGACTTTTGAAAATAGTCACTATTATATTGGATATACATTTGAAGTAAGTTATTTCCAAAGAATATATTTTAATATCTTTTTTATGGAAGCCATCTGTTGCAAACCAGTAATACTGTAACCAGTACGGTTATAGCATATCTTTGATTTGTATTAGCTTACATTAGTTTAGTGGATGAGTACCTTTTGGAGTCATTTAGTATTCTTCAAAAGGTGTTGCTCTGCTACATTTTTAAAGACTACTGCAACTTAAAAGTTACGCACTATTTGAAAGTTATAGAATCTGCAACTTAGTCCCTTTATATGCAGACCTCCTTTAGCTACCTCAAGTCATGTAATGACTAGTTGATTTCTGCTCATTTTTCGTAGTCTTTCAGTCTTATTAACACACGTTGGTTAAATATGTATTATGCCATGTCTTTGGCCTTGTATATTTTTACTGTTTAAGTTAGGTTACCTTTATATCTTGGCATTTTACAGTAACAGACGATGCTTATTGGTACTGTTACGGTTGACTCTAGATTACAGCATTTTGTAGCTAATTCACTTTTTAATTGCATTTGGTTTTTCATGTAATCCATACCAGTGTAACACTTGTTCTGAAGCTATTTTCTTGTGGCATTGTAAATTAATTACTGTTAAACTGGGAATAAGCCACAATTAAAGATAAAAATACGTTTATTGACGTTTCAATTTCCACTTCGGAAATCGTTCTCAAAATACAAACAGTAAATTAAACAAATTTTGTTTTTTGTTACATAGTGAAAAATTCTTCTAATAATTTAATTTTATCTGACTCATTTATATTGACAATTCAGACATACATTATGCATTTTAAAGTAGATGACTTTAAAATGATATTACCAATATTGTTGAGTTGCGCTCCTGGGACGACTTTACTTATAAGATAGTTCATTCGATTACATGAAATCAACTTTACCTTGAGAATATCCGTCAGAAAAATGATAGCATGTAATTCGTCTTTAAAAAGACAAACACATGACATGATGACAGTAAAATTCTCCTGTTAGTGATTCCATAGTAAATTATGAGGGAAAAACCAGGAAAAAAACCTCATAATACTATCCCGACATTGTAAGTATTTGTTCGTGAATTTAGTTTACCTTCAACAAACATCAAAATTCTGATTTTATATGTTACGTTATTTAAAAAACATAAATGATGTATCCTCTATATGTTACTGACTTACTAATACTGGTATTTTCTTATTAATAACTTCCTCTTTCAATATTGGTAACCAGATCCTACTACATTCAGCCGAGGAATTTGCGACACAATTGGCTTCATTTAGCATAATTAGAGCCGCTTCTTTGATTTTTCTTTTTTTACTATCCGTTTCTTTTAGGACTACATTTGAATTATTCCATTGAACCCTATGTTCATTATCCCATGCGTGTTTACAGATTTGAGATCTATCAAATTCTCTATTTTTAATATAAGATTGATGTTCACTTATTCTAACATTTAGTGGCCTTGATGATTCACCTAAATAAAACTGATCGCATTCACAAGGTATTTTATAAATGCAATTCTTTGTCCTTTCTTGTTCATTGTTAGGTTTGGTTTTGGACAAAATAGATCTCAACGTGTTTGTTGTTTTGAATGTTGTTGAAATGTTGAATTTATTTCCTATCCTTTTAAGTTTTTCTGATAATCCTTTTATGTACGGTATTGTTATTTTCCTCATATTATTCTTCGTTAACATTTGTTAACATCTGTTTTATTAAAAAACGATTATCCTTTATCGTTTATAAATAAGGAATTTTCAACAATCGATCGAATAGAACAGAACAACTTAGAACGAGATCCTACAGCATACACAAGGAATTTTCTGGAAGCTTACATTTGAAGCTTACGTCTGGAAGCTTACGTTTTAAGTCTGTTTTGTAACTACATTCAACGTCTATCGCATTATCTTTGACTATACTGTTTAATATCCCATAAGTTAAGATGACCAGGCCATCGGCAAGCCTTAGGACAAGATGACTGCAGTTTTATAAGGCATCCTGTCATCTGTCATCTGCCTTATGGTCATGCAAAATTTATTAGAACTTGATCTAATTAGATAAGGTCTAAAACTAATATATTACGCGTTAAGTTTTTTTTTCTATCTTTAAAAACTTACTTCTTAATAATTGAATTACATGATATTTTCTTTTTTTAGGGAACATGGTTTCAAGCTATGCAATACTGTAAACTACACAATATGGACTTGGTTAGTGTCGAGACTGAAGCAGAAAATGATTTTCTTTATGAGACGATGAAGTTATTATGTAAGGATTGTGAGTTTAAATAAAATATAACTTCCACAATGGTTTCTAGGGTGTGCCATCTTAATCTATTCGAAAAATGTGTCTAAATTTTTTATTTAACGTCGCAATATTATTCAAATATTGCATAAAACAATCAGGTGTGTACACGAACTCAAAACCATTGTGATGAAAATCTCGACGTACTTGGTCGACGAAATATGGCGAAAACAAATATAAATAAAGTCGACGTACTTCGAAATCTTTCCTTAAAATCGAAGCGTCAAGATAAACTTAGTTTACACTAACAACTAAAAAGTAAAATTTAAGCTCTTTCTTCTCTTTAAAAATCCGATCTATTTTATAGGTTTTTGTTGAGTTTAAAGTTCTCTTTGCATTTTTTTTCTGTTCCAAAATTTTTTATTTTTTTAAGTCTTATTCCGCTTATTATCCAACAAAAAACTTATTCATTTGGTAAAATTCAAACATTCCTTGTTCATATCTGTTATTTTGATTTTGTCGCAGATTCTGATTAAAATCTCCGATTTATTAACATATACTCACTATTTTTTCTTGCTCTATCAACTGTTTTTAATCTGATAGATCTATAGAATTTTCGATATTGTTATGTGCAATTGATTTTGTTGGGGCGTAATTTGGAAAGTATTGGAAATGTTTTTTTGCAATACAACAAGTTTAATTTGTAAACTTATTTTTCTTCTTTCTTATTCTTTGTCTTTAGTCTGTTTGCATTCACTTCTAAATAAATGCCTTTAAATGTGTTGTTTTCACTTTTGCTTTGATGAGGTCTCACCATTGTATTTGTGATCTTCCTTCACTAAGACTGTGTTCGCGTGGTTTCAATATATAATGTTTTTGGTACATCTTTTGTTGTTTTGTCGTACCACGTATCCTACGAAGCTCCATTTAAGTTGCTAAATTTTTCAAATTACATATTTTACCTTTGTCGTAAATCGCACGTACTTATTTTGTATATGTTCTCTTAGATAACCTCTGCTCTTCGATGGCTCTCTGCTTTGTTATTAATCTATTTACTTATAACTCTGTTAGTGTAAACATTTCCATTCTATAGATTACAGCTGGTAGAATACAACTGTTGAATACTCTTTTCTTTAAATTTATTCACATCTTTTTGCTTTTCAACACAAACTGAGTCTTCCTACTGCTGCCCGAGATATTCTGATTCTTTTAGTTATCTATGCTCATTGATTCTGTGTGCCTAATTTGATTGTGTGGCCTAGGTATATATACTTTTGTTTTAATTAAATTCATTTTTAACTCTTAAGTGGTAAGGTGAAATAAAGTTAAAAAAATTAAAAAATGGAGTCTCCGCTAATATCTACCTACTAAAGAATAGCTATTTATTTTGCCTTCACAAAATCAAATTATATATTTACTGGATAGCCGGCATCTGTGAATCTCTGTAGCATAACCTGGATACTAAATAGAGCGTTTCTGGTTCCAACATTATTTCGGAACCCAAACTGTGTATCGCTACGTGTTTTTTATTATTTTTTGAAAGATCTGAGTGTAAAATTCAAAGATGTAATTTTAAAAAATGGTCATCAAGCTGATAGTCAATAAATATTTTTCAATATGCCACAAAAGTCGACAGCAACGGGTACAAATCTGTTGGTCGAAATGCTTTATTATTGTATTCGGTTTGCATTTTAGCTTATTAGTTGTTTAATTTCGTCCACAGTGATGTTAACTTCTGTTACTACTTCCATAACACTTCTGTTACTACATATCTTACAAAAGTTTTTTAATTCTAGTTGGAGGCGATGACGAATATCGATTTTGGTCATCAGGAACCACCTTCTCTTACGACAAATGGGCATGGATGGGAACAGGTCAACCAATCAAATACTTCAGTTGGATGCCAAAACAGCCCGACAATATCAAGAATGACAAATGTCTTGAAATTAGGTATAATAAACACGATGGTCTTTTGTGGAATGACGAAAACCAAAATAAGGACTTGCACGTTATTTGTGAATCTAAGATTAAAAAATCTGTATAATAAATATTGTCTACAATTAGTTATAATAAATAGTTGAGAGAATTAGCTTGTACAATATTTGAATTTTGCACCTTTCCTTTCCTTCATGTTTCTCACATGTCGTACATTGGTTTAGTCTTTACAACCAAGAAATAAAGAAAGAAAGAAAGAAAGAAATCATAAAGTTAGTAACAGATACATAGAAATGTGGCGAAAACAAATATAAATAAATGCAAAACAAAATAAGAACAAAAATAAAATATGCAAAATCAACATAAGACATAATCAATTCTAAGAAATAGAAGAATATGCTAAAAAGTATAATTGATAAGAAAAAGACAGATAATATTTGATTTCACGTATAGAGTCTCTGTATATTCGCTAATACGTATTTAATCTTAAGAGAAGTCATCAGAGTGACTGGTCCAGAAGCTCTTAACGTAAAAACAAATATTTTCTGTTAGAAAAAGCAACAATAAAATGGCTTCCATAAGGACGATATCATCTGATAATAAATCATAAAGTAGAATGCAAAGATTTCTATTGACGAAACCAAAGTTCAGATTTTTTGCTTTAATCAAATGTTAACTGTCTTTTTCTTTTATTCGGTTTACTCTTTATAAGTACTAGAAACGGATTTTTGGTTAGATGAGGAGATATGTTGCGGAATGCCCCTTTTAGATTATCTATATCTCTCTTACAACTTTTAGCGTGGTCTGTTTTGCTTTGGTTTTATAGAAGGCACAGATAAGCAAAAATCTGAATTCTGGTTTCATCAATATAAACCTTTGCACTTTTAATTTAATGATTTTTGATTAATAATTATAATACGAATAACTAAGGACATGAAAAACCGGTATATCTATGTTTCGTATAGCTTAAGAAGGAATTTGACTGAGTAAAATTAAAAGAGGTTATCCACTTACTGTACGCAAGAGAGATACCTCTTTTTCTTAGAGTGCCGTCTCCCTACAGAGGTTGGCAATCATAATGGCTATTTTTATTTTAGAACTTGCTGCTTTAATCAAATCAATCGATCTACATTGATACCAATCACGTAGATTCTTTAACCATGAGTTTTGCTTTCGGCCAACAGATCTTCCTTGAATCTTTCCCTGTATTATGAATCTCAAAATTTCATATTTTGGTCCCCTCATAACGTGGCCTATATATTCCAGTTTTCTGGTTTGTATAGTGGTGATTAGTTCTGTTTTTTACCAACCCTCTCCAGTACTTCTTTATTTTGTAATTCTATCAGTCCATGATATTTTTAATACTCTGCGGTATAATCAGAGTTCTAAAGCCTCGATTCTTTTTAAATTGCATTTTTTTAATGTCCAAAGGCTCAGCTCCATATAATAATATTGAAAATATATTACAGCAAATGGTAAGTAGTCCGATTTCCAAATTTAGATTTTTGCACGTTAGGAGTGGCTTCATTCGTATAAATGCTGATCTGGCAATCTCTATTCGGCTGTTTATTTCTACAGCATAATCATTGGTTTCATTGATGAAAGTTCCCAAGTACTGATATGTTTTTAATTGTTCTATGACGTTACCATTGATTGTCAATAGGTGATGTATATTTTGTGGTCTTTTTGTAACTAGCATGTACTTCGTTTTTTAGAGTTTATAGTAATTCCCATCTGAGCACTATTCATACTCGAGCTTTTGAGAAGATATCGTAGATCCTCTATACTAGTTGCTATGATCACAGTGTCGTCTGCATATCTTAAGATGTTAATTAATTTTCCGGTAACGGTGACTCCCGCTTCGATATTATTGAGCGTGTTTTGGAAATTTTTTTAGAATATAAGTTAAACAAAAGTGGTGACAAAACACATCCCTGTCTAACTCCTACACAGATCCTCATTTCTTCTTAGTGTAAATACCTCTAGGAATAATCAAACCGATTAAAAATATCTACCAAAGCAACACGATAAAAGTAAAAGTAGAAGAAGAACTAACCGACCCTATTGAAGCTGGCAATGGGATAAGACAGAGAGATTCCCTGAGTCATGTATTATTCAACCTGATTATGGATGAAATAATAAAAAAAAGTAAAAACTAAAGGAGAATACCAAATAGGAGAAAAACAACTTAAAATAATTTGCCATGCAGATGACGCGATACTACTCTCTCAAATTGAAGATGATTTACAACGTATGCTGCACGAAATTAATAAAACCGCTAGACAATTTAACACGTTAATTTTCCCAAAAAAGACAAAATGCATGGTTACAACTATAAATTTACTTAGATGTAAATTTAAGCTGAAAGGTCAGATAACAGAACAAATACTGAAGTTTAAATATCTAGGCATCACATTATCTAGCTACAAAAAGCTCGAAACTGAACTGAAAGTTCAAGAGAATAGAGCAAACAGAGCCGCAAGCCGCCTGAATGAAACAATATGGAAAAATAAAAATATCGAAAAAAAAAAACGAAAGGCAGAATTTACAAAACATTCAATGATTAAATGTATTAAAGGTTATGTTCTTATGAGTTACTTTTGGCGATAGATCACAATTGTGGGGTTCGGGAGTCAACACAGTAAAAATCGAAAAAAAAAAACAGACAGAACCAGCTATGTTTTTTGTTGCAGGAGATACAAGAGATCTAAATTATTTAAACTATTGCACCATCTTTTTCTTAGTCTGACAATACTTCTTCGTCCATGTGGTGACTTATGTAGTGCTATTCGTACTATCCTATCCTCTCTATTCTAAGCCATTCTACTAATGTGTGCGTTCCACTCCTGTTTCCGTTTTGTCATTCATCCATTTTTGTCTTCTATATTGCATGCTCTTCTTAGGTTTTCGCTTTTCTTCTTATCCAACAGGCTTTTCCCTAATAGTCGTCGGAGTATATTCATCTCTGTTGTTATTAATAGTCGTCTCGTTTTAGATGTGTCAGGTCTTGTCTTTGCCGTGTATATAGGTCTAATTGCTGCTTTATAGATTCTTGTTTTTGTGTCTTGTCTTAGATGTTTCTTCTTCCAGATTGTGTTATTAAAAGATCCCGCCGCTTATTTGCTTTGAAGTTTTGTTGTCATATTTCTTCTTCAACATCTTCGTAACTAGTTATATCTATTTCCAGATATCTAAACATTGCTTCCTGATTTATTATTTTTTTCTGCTGATATCAAATTGTGTCTCTTGGTTGATGTATTGAAGATGTGTGTTAATCTGTGGAGCTCGTCTTCTGTCTCGGCGATTAATGCGCCGTCGTATGCATAACATAATATTAGGATTTCTTTGTTTCCCATTTTGTAGCCATGACCTTTAGTGGGCTTAACGAGTCATCCTGTCTGACTCCGCTTTGTACTGGTGTACACTGTGTTAGTTTTCCATTTATCTTTGCCAGTATTCGATTATGGACGTAGTAGTTTTTAATGATTTGTATAATATTGATTGACTGGATGCAATCGAAAGCGTTTGTCAAGTATATAAAACATAGATATGCTGGTTAATTGTACTTGATGGCAATTTCTGTGATCTTAGTACAAATAAGGCGTCTACGCAGGATCTTCCGGATCTAAACCTTGTTGTTCATCTGATAAAGTTGTTAGTTTGTTGATTTTGTTGGCAAGGACTTTCGTGGTAAGCTTAAGTGCGGTATTCAGTAGATTTATACCTCTATAAGTTTTGTCATCCCTAGGGTTTTACTTTCTCATCCGTGTTTAAAAGCTCGTTTCTTAATTCGTCTGGTCTTGGTAATTTTCTATTTTTAGTGTATTTATGGCTATTTCTACTTATTGAAAACTGATTTCTATTTCGTGTATTTAGGTACTTATTGTGTTGATTATTATTTTCCTTTTCTTTAAACAGTTCCGACAGGTATCTTTCTGATTTGTTTGCTGGTATGTTATTGTATTCCTTCAACTTTACAATTTCTTATGAATCTTCATATTTGTTTTTGTGTACCGTAGAAGTTGCTTTCCATCCTTTTTGTTAACTGTTCCCAGTAGTCCTAGTTTTTTGTTCTTCTTACCAACTGCTTTATTTTATTTCATATTCTTTTATAGATGTCTCGGGATTCTAAAGTATTTGATGCTTTATACTTCTTGTAGGCTTCTCGTTTCTTTTTCATTTTTTTTTAATTTCTTTTCCAAACGATGGTGAACCGTTGTTGTTTCTTTTGTGTATTATGACTTTGCGTTTTCCTAGAGCTTCTGTTGCTATTGATTTAATAATATTTTTAATTTTCTTCCAGCTCGCATTTATATCTTCGATTTATTTCAGCTGTATCTTTTTTGCTAGCCTCTTTTGGCTCATTTCTCTTTTAGAGTCGTACCACAGTGATTCTACATTGAATTTTTCCTCGGTGCTTGCCTGTAGATAATGTTTTAGTGTTGTGTTATTTTTATTCCTTTCTTTGCTAGTACTAGTTTGTGTTCACTCTCTGCGTCTGCTAAGTTTAAAGTTCGGATATTTAGAATCTGATTTGGGTGGATTTTTCTATTAGTGACTATAAAATCAATCATATTAATGCTTTTCGTTCCTTTTAAAGTTTGCATCCTCGAGGTTATAGATGGATACAAATTTTAGTATTTATTTTTTTATTCTAATAAATACGATTTATTAAAATGTAGAATAGCAGCTACTTGCAATATACTATATTTATTTATTAATTGTATGTAATTGAGATGTGTACAACTCTTTAATTAACTTGTTAAACAGCAAATTATTATTATAATTTTCCAAAAAATTTTTCGGTAATCTTGTCACCTATGTTTTAAACCATTCGTATATCTTTATAACTTCCTCCTTTCCGTGACCTACTCTTGTTGTGTCTTGTATAAATTAATGTCTTGATAGGTCCCTATGCGAGAAAAATCTGTCCCTGTTTTTCTAATGTCGATGTAATCTTAACTGTATGTTAGGGTATTTAGGAAAATTATAGTGATGTCTACTGTCTTATTTCT